CAGGAATTCAAGGGGCTGCTGGCAACAATTACTTTCGCGCCGATGGCCAGAACACTGGCAATTTTATCACGGTACTATTCTATGATGTTCCTCCGTTTCTTTAGTGTGGGTTTAATGCCTTCTAATCTCACCGTTGTATAATTGGATATGATCAATCAGATGCTGCACTGCAGGCCATGGAGCCCAGTTACCCGACATTATAGGCAGAAAAGCTTTTCTTTCTTTTTTTTCCATTAAAATAAGAAAGGATTTTTTTTTCAGATATTAGTCCCTTAAATATGAGCACTTTTGATATTAGCCCCTTAAATCTGAGTATTTTGATATTACTCGCTCAAATTGTCTTAAGTTGTTGATTTTAGTCCTTCGGATAGGTTTTATGTTAAAAAATCTAAACCATGGTTGGGTTAATATTAACTATAGATGGTATTGGTAAGTTACCAAAATGCCCTTAGTGTAATTCACCCCCACTAAGTGACATTCTCTCTCTCATTGCATGTTTTGATTAGAGTTTAATGATTTGAGTTTGAAGTAAATTTGGGGATAAGTTAGGGTTTAATCTTGATTAGGGTTTAATTATGCCAGTGTTATCGAGGCGCAAGGCGTAATACGGGGCGCAAAGGTCCCTTACGCGCACCATGCGCAAGGCGCACAACGAGGCACGCGCCTCACTAATTGAGGCGCATAACTCAAACTAATATTTGCCAACATCATAAGATAGAAACATATAAGCAACATATTAGTTACCTACATCCAAAATTATGAGAATATCAACTTAAATCATTAAATTATGCTAACTGGATTTTTAAAGTAACAAAAAAGATACAAGAAACATGTATTTAAATCATCAAATTAAGTGATTAACAATTATGAGCATATGTTTATAAATTATCACATAAAAAGACTAAGAAATATAATTAACAAACATGACCGTTCATAATTTTCTAGTTAGTATTCTTAATTGATATTTGCTACTTAGCATGAAAATATGAAGAATGAATGTATCAATTACATATTTACATGTTCATAATTTGCTAGTTAGCATACTAATTAGAGAATAAAGTTACAATTAGCAAACAAGTATACTAAATTACTAATTATTGTTTCCTTTTTATAGGTTGAACATGAAAATATGAAAATAGATTAGCAACTAGTAAGAAAGAGTATATTACATGATATAAATATATAATTATGTAAATTATTTAAAAAAATAGAAGAAAGAGTATGTTACATAATGCAGGTGCGAGGCGCACGTGAGGCACGCGCCTCGCTACGTGCAGCGCCCCGCCTCACGTGCGGGGCACATTTTCCCCAGGCCGAAGTGCCCCGCGCTCGGGGCGCGCACCTCAATAAGCCTGAATTATGCATTGATGAATTTTAATTTTGTGAGGGACATAATTGTCCCATAAATGCAACAATTATAGATAACGGAATATTCCCTATAAATTTAACATCCACTAGCTTGAAGGACTAAAATCAACAACTTAAAGCAATTTGAGGGACTACTATCAACATACTCAGAATTGAGGGACTAATATCAAAATAGCTCAGATTTGAGGGACTAATATCTAAAAAACCCAATAAGAAAATATGGGATTTACTTGTCTCGCTGCCAACTGAGCCTCATAAGCCACTCACATGTCGCTTGTTGATGCTCCACTGCTCCCGTACTGCCAATAGAGCCTAATTGTGTCCTTGTAAGAGAAATACTAGGTTAGGGGTGAGGCCCGACTCATTTGTACAAAGGAAAAAAAGTTCCCTTTTGTTTTATAATTTGAACCCCTAACTTGTATACAAAATAAATAATAATCGTGGGTTATACTTCATGAAAATTTGGAGTTTTAAAGTCAACATACATAAATATTGCTATTGCGCCGACATGAACGAAGATGTACAAAAATCGTGGGTTAGCCCATGAAAATCATAAATTTTGAAGTACGCCTAAGTAATTCTATTAGGATGAAATGGTTGAAAATAAATAAAAGTCATGGGCTATTTGTCCATGAAAACGACAAATTTTGAAGTGCACATACTAGATACATAATTACTATTGAATTTAAACAAATAAAAGGGACAAAAATCATGGGCTAGCCCATGAAAATTGAGAATTTAAAATACACATACTTAAATGTAATTGGGTTGATGAATAAAAATTAATAAAAATCATGGGTTGTGCATAAGAATCTAGAATTACAAAGTAATGCATACTAATTGTTGTTGGATCAAAATAAAAATAAATAAACAAAATTCATGGGTTATAGCCCATAGCAATCGCGAATTTTGAAGATACATGCTTAATTATCATTGGGTGACGATGAATGAACATGGACATAAATGATGGGTATTTCTCATGAAAGGATGAACTTAGAAGTACTCATACTTAATTTCCATTGGACAAGCACAATCGAAAATGATTAAAAAATCTTGTTTAGAGTTCTTGAAATCATGAAGTTTGAAGTATGTGTACTTAATTTTCATTTGGTCAAAATGTACAAAAATGAACAAAAATCGTAGGTTTATATACCATGGAAGTCACTAATTTTGGAGTATGTGTATTTAATTTTCATTGAGTCATAACAAATGAAAATAGATAAAAATTATAGGCAATTTAAAAGTACACATTTAATACCCATTGGGTGAAAATGAGCAAAAATGGAAAAACATCATGGGTTAGCTCGTGAACATCATCATTTTTGAAGTACACACTTAACTACTATTGGGTTGAAATTCTAGAAAATGGTTAACTATCGTAGGGTATAGTCCATGAAAATCATAGACTTTAGCACACATTCTTAATTTCATTAGGCTGAAAATAACAAACATGGAAAAAAAAATCATGGGTTACCCATGAATGTAGTGAATTTTAAAGCACCCATATTTAACTGTTACTAGGTCAAAACGATAGAAAAATGGACACAAATTGTGGGTTAAAGCTCATGAAATCGTGAATTGTAAAATGCGTGTACTCAACTGCCATTTGGTCGAAACTACTAAAAATGGATAAAAATGGATTAAAAAGTGGGTTGTAATCCATGAAAATCACGAATTTTAAAGCAAACCTGCTTACGCCTTGTTTGGTATGCAAGAATCAAGTCAAGTGAGAGTAGAATGAAGTGAGGAGCAGAATGGAATGGAATAAATGTAGGAATAGAAAGACCATTTCGATTCTTACGTTTGATTGTGATTAGAGAATGAAGTGGGAGTGTCAATCATTTCACTTTTTTGTATTTGATAATTAATAAATAATCATGATATATTTGGACTTCGTTTTAATTTTTTTTCATTTCCACTTAAGTGGAACTCCTATTCCCTACCATCGAAGTGTTTAGTACAAATGATTCAGAAATGGGAATTAACATTTCATTCTCACTCATTCGTGTGCAATGTTATATTAAACGTTGGGCGCTTCTAGGCGTCGGACTTGGTGCCCAGTGCTTAGTCGCAAGGTTTTAAATATCGGATGTCGGGTTCATGTCGGACGGCTGAAATCCATGTCGGATAGCGGAAATCGGGGATATATCGGGGGACATGGACTAAATATCGGATTACCATATCGGGTGGACGCATATGTATAATATCATATCCTAAATATAATCTAAGCATTCCTAAATTGAATATAAGCATACTTTATAAATTTTATAAAGTAGCATTAGCATCCTCATCCGACTTCATGAATAACGTATCCCTCTCTTCTATGCATTAGCATTTAAATTAGTTGCATTTCAATTTTATAATTCAATTACTAACTTAAAATTAATTTTATTTGACAGGGGAAAACTGAAAAGAAAGGGGAAATTAAAAAGATTCAAGGGGAAAACTGAAATTTTGCCTGATTTTGATGAAGTTTTTAGCAGTCAGCTATATCGAGCTTCTTGAACTTGTAAAAATACAACCATTCCTCAAAATATTACATTACAAAGTCTACCTTGCAAAACTGAAAAGTTTGAATGTTAATTTTCATTACTTTCATCTTGAGCATATAAAAATACAAGTCTACCTTGCAAAACAAGAATTAAAAATTACAAGTATACATTTACAAGTTAGAACTATACCCAAAATATTACAACCATTCCTCAAAATATTACATGTATATTGCTGAAATGAAAGATAAATATTACAAGTATACAAAATATTACAACTCTAGCCCAAATTTTTACTTACAATTTACAAATGCTATCCATATAAATAGAACAACTCTAGGGCAAGCCACACTTCTCCCCTTTTATCCGCCTCCTCCTCAAAGATCGGCTCCTCTCCTCCAGATCTGGCGATTTCACTGTTCTCCATCCAATCTCGTCGTCGACTCCTCGCCTCAAAGCTCGTCGTCCCTCCAATCTCGTCGTCGACTCGTCCCTGGAAGCTCGTCGTCGACTCGTCCCTTGAAGCGGCTGATGGCGGTCTGAATGAGAGACCGAAGGGCTACGATGACGGCGATGTCAGGCGACGACTACGGGTGGATGACGACGGCGGAGAGCGGCGTCGGAGTGGCCTCGATGGGAGTGATGAGGCCAGAGCTCGTGATGAAGTCGATCGTGCCCGTCGTAACTCAGTAAGTCAAAAATCGGCCGATATCCGACTTAAAATAGAGCGATTCGTGTCGCTCGACCCTTCAATCCGCTATGTCGGCCGACATGTCCGACATGTCGGCCGACATTTAAAACACTGCTTAGTCGTCTAGGCGGGCGCCTAAGCGGTTTCTGGACGTTTTTTTTCTTTCTTCATTTAAGTGGTGGTTGATGAAGTTTTGCTAAAGGTCGGAGGAGGTAGTGGCGATGTTCATATTTGGAGGTTAATGGAGTTTGGAGGACGTGTAGGCTACGACACATGAAATCATAATCAAGACCTACAGGGTACAATCCACGTAAGCAAACAATGCTCCCCTAAACGCTCGTGAAATTTAGGTGGGCAGCCTAAATACCGCCTAGGCGCTAGGCGCTAGTTAGGCGGCCTAGGTACCGCCTAGGCCTAGGCGTACGCCTAAGCGGACTAGGCGGAGGTTTTTTAAAACAGTGTTCGTGTGTACCGAACGAGATGTTAATTCTTGAGGTCAAAAAGAATGAAAATGGGAAAATGT